CACAGACGCACGCACGCCACCCAAAACACAACCGCACCGCACGCACTACAGCGCAAGCAAACAGCCCGACTAATTGGCCTCCCACCCGGTCCACGTGCACGCCCGCGCCAGGCACACGCTAAGCACGCGCGTCACAGTCACACACGCTCTATATACGCCTCGCTGCGCCTCTGCGCTACGCGGCAGGGCCGCGGTTCCACCGGCTGCCGCGCGCGCTGGATTGAAAGGCCCAGTATCCTAGAGCAGTTACACAACCCTGCCCATGCTGAATGATAAACACTTGACAGGCCCGACACCGTACCAGCGAACTCCTTGATCCGCTCCGTGGAACCGCGTGCTGCTGCCCTGTGACTAGCGTGTGCATGAATTAAGGTCGAGCTTATCTTGATGATCTCCGAGCACAGAGCGCCCGGTGGGCCGCTCGCCGTCCCCGAGACCCGACCTGACACCGATTCGCAGGGCGACTTTTGTTTTGGGGATCTATCGCCCCCGATTATCATGTTTTCGGGCGGCCCTCTTTTTTGCATTCGTCGTGGGCCGAAATCGCCCGCTCGGCCCCCGTGTTATTTTTTACCCCTGACATGTGTCGCGTGCTCATTACTCAAAACAATGACTGCGACTAGTCCTGTATTAATGCTGAGCGGAGTCACAAATGGCCATCTTCTAGCCCTGGTACGTGGTCGCTTACTGATCGACATGCGGACCCAATGTGAAAATCTTTCTCGTTGTGCTGTCACCGTTACAGGCGAAGGAGCCACGATTCCTCCAGCTCTGCACTGTCGTCTACTGCGACAAAGTGACGTATAAGAGCAAGGCTGCAGCTGGAGACGCATTTGCCGCAGCGACAGTCACCAGGCTCTCATCTCTGTCAACGCAGGTGGTCCGTGGACTGCAAGCACAGACCTCCACCTCGCTGGCGTTTGCAGCACCCAGTTTGGTATGTGTCAGACGTACGTATAGCATGTTTGTGTTGTGTCAGACGTACGATATATGTTCCCGCCTGTGTCGTGTCAGACATCTCATAGTAGGTTGTGTTGTTTCAGGTATAAACCGTATAGCATATGTGTGCTCTGCTGACTCAGATTTACATACGCGTGACTAAGTTGGGGGGTAGTGCCATTTGGAGCATAAAATACATTTATATTCCCACATAACATGTCTTAGATGCGCAGCAGGTTACTACATGTTAACTAAGTATTATAGGCATTTTGAAGCCAAAAAACAATGTGCCATGCTAAATACCTCTAAGATGGCCATACGATTTTTAAATCATTCTGGAGCAAAGAGTAATTGAAAACATATTCCATTAAAAGAATATACGGAATTTTCCTGCAATGCACAATCGCTGGTGGTGATGGAGGTGACCGGGCATTTTTTTATCTCGGGTAAAATGCTGACTCATTAGTCATTCTTGCCTTTAACGCGAGTTTGGAAGGCGAGGCACCGTCAGCTCTGCATCGCTGTGCAATCGTTAATGCACTGTCGTTAATTACACTCGTCATCACGTTTAGAGCGGAGGGCAACTGCGGCCTGCGGCTGAGGCGTGCTGCGATGCCCACAGTGCAGAGGGAGCTGGGCATGAGTGGGGAAGAACGTTCGAGTACCAGCACGAATGAAGATGCAGGGCAGCGAAGGACCGTCACTGCCAGCGCCAACTGGTGCGGCGTGTGTGCGCGTGCGTGTGTAGTTTGTATGTGTGTGCGCCGTCTGGTGTGGGCCGTGTTTGTGCTCCGTGCGTGCATGCGTGCGTTGGTGTGGTGGGGGGGGGGGGCCTTGGACGGGATGTGCGTATGCGTGCGCTTGCTGTACTCGATGTGTAGGTGTGGCAATTCACGTGCCATGCATGTATGCGCAAGTATGCATTCGCGCGTGCAGCAACGATGTTATATAATTCTAAGACTCATCCATAAAATTATCATCATCAGTTTCTTTACAGCCGGTAATTATCGCTGATGACGCACGCCATCGTGCGATTAGTTAGCTCACACTGACATCCATCAGATGAAGCTATTGTCATGCGGGTGTCGTTCCGTCCGTCCGTCCGTGCCGCAGTCAACATGGCTAACGCCTTGAGAACCGTTTGACCCACATGCTTCAATTGGCATTACAGTGTTACTCCTATGGGAGAGCATGGCAACGCTTCCTATTTTGCGAGCACGCCAGTTGACGCTGACTTTCGAGCCACGCCCACTTTTTGGCAAAAATGGAAATGCCCATAAGTCCAGTTCAGGCTTCAACGGCATTTTGCTCATTTTTGTGTCTCGCTGAATGAATAAGGACTCGCGCCCCAGAAACACATATCACAGGTTTTGATATCTCTTAAAAATTATGCAAATTAGGCTAATTTTTGGCGTTTCAGCTATGCATTTCAGTGTCTGCTACGCGCTCACCAAAACTCAAGAACCGTTACCACATGTTTCAAATTGCATATAGTTGTTACTCCTATGGGAGGGATTTAACGTCCTATTTTGCGCTGGAGCATTGCCAGTCTCGACCCTACTTCTCGAGCCACGCCCCACTCTTGCAAAATCTCCCCACACATGTACTCCACTTCAGTAACGGACTTTTGCTCATCTTTGCTCTCCCGTGACATGAATAAGGACTGGCCCCAAACATATCACAGGGGCTTTTGATAGTTTCTTAAAAATCATGCAAAATTAGCGTAGATTTTGGCAGTTTACTATGCATTTTCATATGTCTGCTACGCCGTCACAATAACTCGAAGATTCGTTTTGAGCCCACATGCTTTCAAATTGCATACATTGACACTTGTTACTCCTTAGGAGAGATTTGAAACGCCCTTTTGGAGCATGCCAGTCGACTACTTTCGAGCCACGCCACTTTTTGGAAAAATGGAAAAAATGCGTCATCTAGATTCATTCGATTTGCTTAAATTTAACCTACCTGACCTACTTACCTAGCCTACCTAACCTCACCACCTACCGTACTACCCTACCTAGCCCTGTGACCCCTCCACGTACCTACCTACCTACCTACCTAGCTACCCTACCTTACCTACCTACCTACCTGCCTACCATCTTGCCTAATCGGATACCTACGCTGTAATATGTGGGTTTTTAGAGTTCATTCGCTTACAATGTAATTTGCACCTGGAATGAGTTTATTGCTTGTTATTGTTCGCGCATGCATCGCAAAACCAAAATGGCAGATCATTTAGGCGTTAGCACCATCTCTTCTCACGATTTCAGACTTTTACAGATCTGTAAACATTGATTTTCCGCCATCAGAACTAACACTTGAAACAAGAAACAGTTGAAATTTCTATAGTATAAAAGGTAGGGAGTGAAGACATTTTGATCACATTTCTGCGGTTTCGTCGTAAACGAAACAGCTCTACCAAATTTTAAATACACTCTCCCTCTTCTCAATCACACCCAACTCCGTGCCAGCGTATAGTGTCATCGACACTTCTCATTTGTGTTGATACATATATCGTCGCCGTGTGGCGATGTGCGGGTGTTGAGAGGTGGGCTCTGGATGTGACATCAGAGAGTCGGACAGCTGTAACGTTGTTATGTTGTTGGTATCTTAAAGCTACATGGAGCAGCTACTGGAGAACGTGGGTGCAGGGCCGCCGGTACCACGACAAGGTGATGGCGGAGAAGATCGACCGCGCTTGTGCGCGTGCACGCCACTGCGACCTGTGCCAGTAACCGTTGCGACCAAGCGCATGCAAAAACCCACCACCAGTGGCTCGTTCGTATCTCGTGTCCTATCTATGTCTAATTATTTGTTGTGGTTTGTAAGCGTGGTCTGTTGTTGTATGTCATGAACGCGGGCTGTCTGTTGTTCCTCCGCTCTTGGGGTCTCTCCTACCTGTGTAAGGTTACCTTACCTCCCTTCTGCATTTCTCACTTGTTCCGTTTACAGTTTGTGTTGCGGTGCTGTCTGTTTGGTTGCGTGATTGCTGTTTGTGTTGCGTGTTGTTGCAGTTTGTGTTCGGCTGTTGCTGTTTGTGTTGCGCGTGTGCTGTTTGTGTTGCGGCTGTTGCCAGTTTGTGATTGCGCGTGCTTGCAGTTGTTGCGGTGCTGCAGTTTGGTTGCCGTGTTGCGAGTTTGTTGCGGGCTGCTGTTGTATTCGGTGCCTGCTGTTGCTGTTGCGGTGCTGACCTGTTTGTATCGGTCTGCTGCAGTTTGTGTTGCGGTGTTGCAGTTTGTGTTGCGGTGCTGCTGTTTGTGTTGCGGTGTTGCAGTTTGTGTTGCGGTGTTGCAGTTTGTGTTGCGGTGTGCTGTTTTTCATTTTTTTTTGTTGCGCTGCTTTCTTTTGTGCTGTTGCTTGTGCGGTTCTGCCAGTTTGTTGCAGGTGCTTTTGCCGGGCCTCTTTTTGTTTTTGTTTTTTTTTTTCTGTTGCAGTTGTGTCCGTGCCTTTTCTTCTTTTTTTTTTTTTTTGTTTTCTTTTGTTTTTTTACTTGTTGCAGTTTGCGTGTTGCGGTGTCTCTTTTTGGGTTTTTTCTATTTTTTGTGTTTTTGTTTCTTTTTTTTTTTTTTTTTGTGTTTGTCCCTGTTCTGTGTGTTCGTCTGTGTTGTGCTTTTTTTGTGTGCTTGGGTCCGGTGCTGTTGCAGTTTGATGGTTGCAGTGCTGCCTGTTTCCTCGTTCCTCTAGATTGCTCTGAGATAAGAAAGCGTGTTGTGCCGTCTAGAGTTATCGGTCAGCGCTCTGGTATTCATCGCCCCACCCCTGGCTGTCGGATCGCACCAGTCCCTAGTGTCAGTGTACACACGTAGTGTATGTCTGGCAGACCCGAACCGGTGCCTGGACACGGCTTCTCCTCTGCTGCCAACGACTGCTACATCGGACCTGCACTTCTATGTCATTGGCCCGGAGCATCGCGGCAACAGGGCCGGCGCCGAAGAAATCCATGCGGTGCGTAACTACAAGCTGGGCCCGGGGCCCGGGGCGTGGTTGTCAGGAAGTAGCATCCCAACACTGCTGGCCCAGGAAGCTCAGAGGGGCTGGCGGCGCTTACAGCGTGGTACCGCATGGAGGTGGGTGCTAAGGCGAACGAGGGCTCGGGTGATGGGAGCATACAGGCTATCGCCATGAAGGTGGGTGCTCGTGGGAACGATGGTGGGGAGTACAGCTACCGTCGAAGGGTGGCTCGTGCTGCGACCGAGGTGTGGGGGAGTACCGCGTACCGTTGAATCGGTGGTGCTAGGAACGACGGTCGGGGGACAGTCGCAGTCGTACCGTTGTGAAGGTGGGTGTCTTGGGAACGAGGGTGGGAGTACAGCCTATCGCATGAAGTGGTGACCCGCGTGCTGCGGAGAACGAGGGTGGGGATTACAAGCTACCCAGTGAGCGCGCGTTGCTGGGACGAGCGGTCGAATCCGGTGGGTGGTATTATCAGCTGACCGCAGAAGGCTGGCTGTGTGCTCGGTAACGGTACTGGGTGTGTAGTAAGCTACTGCATGACAGTGTGTGCTGGGAACGAGCGGAGTGGGCCGAGCTACAGCTACCGATGAAGTGGCTGCGGTGCTACGCGCGGGAGGGACGACCGGTGGTCAGCTCTCGCCTCGGTCCGCTTCTCTCTCGCTCGCTTGCTCTGCTCCTTCTCCTCTTCTCTCTCTCTCTCTCTCTCTCTCTCCCTGCTGCTCTCTCTCTGCGGTCTCCTCGTTCTCTGCTCTCTCTGCTCGTTCGTCTCCTTATCTGACTCTCGTCCTCTCTCTCTCTCTCTGCTCTCTCGCTCTCTCTCTCTCTCTCTCTCTCTCTCTCTCTCTCTCTCTCTCTCTCTTTGAGATTTCATTTACATTCGGGTGTCGATGAGCATCTCCTGCCTGGTGCTATATGACATCACATACCCTATGTACCCGCTGTGCCGAATAATTTAACCCTGCAACACGATATCTGATCGCCACGCATTAAACTTTTTAGCCTGGCATCGCCCAGTCCGTTACAGCCTGTTGTTGGACTATAGCCTGCCTTCGTTTCACGTCAACGTTACCGTAGTTCACGCGTGTTACGTTTGCTATTGTGCGTGCGCGCTTGATTTCGTCCGAGCAGCGCTTGGCTTCAAGACGGCAACACTCTTCGCACGTTTCGGCATAGTCGATCGTTGTTGACGTCGGCCTCGGACGAGCCGTGCTGCTGCAGCGGCCTGTGCGTCGACGTACGTACGCCGTAGCTGACATAGAGAAGCTCCAAGCCAAGCAAGTGAAGGCCCGATACAACACGTACAGCCCAAGGTAAGGTCCGCACAACACTGTACAACCAACGGTAAGGTCCCGTCTACACAACGTAAAGCCAAGGTAAGGTCCGCTACACGCGATACAACCAAGTAAGGTCCAGATTACACAAATACAGCCAGTAAGGGCCGGATACACACGTACAAGCCAAGTAAGGTGCCGCTACAGCACTCTACAAGCCAGATAACCTCCGCTACACGCGTATCAATGCCAAGGTTAAGGCCCCATACACAACGCATACAAATGACATCGTAAGGTCTGCTACAGATGCTACAAGCACAAGGTAAGGTCCGCTACACATGTACAGCCAATGGTAAGGTCTCGTACTGTCTATCGTACTTAGTCCAGGTAAGGTCTGCTACACGCTACAAGCAGTAAGGCGCCGATACACACATACAAGCAACGGTAAGGCCCGCATACACACGTACAAGCCAAACGGTAAGGTGCCGCCTACACACGTACAAGCCCAAGATTTAAGGTCCGCTACACGTACAAGCCGAATAAGGCCCGATACCACACGTACAAGACAATGTAAGTCCGCTTAGCACAGTACAAGCCAAGGGTAATCGTCCGCGACCAGCACTTACAAGCCAAGATAAGACGTCCGGCCTCACGACGTACAAGCCAACGCCGTCTGGTAAGGTCCGCTCCGACACGACGACAAGGCCAAGATAAGGCGGCCGCCTGACCACACGTACAAGCCAATGGTAATGGCCCGATACACACGTTACAAGCGCAAGGTAAGGTCCGCGCGACAACGCTTACAACTCAAGCATAAGGTCGCTGCACACGTACAACCAAGTCAGATGGTCCGCTACCACGTGTACAAAGGCAATAGCACGTTGTCCCGCCTACACTACGTGACAACCGCCAATGGTAAGGTCCGTACACTGGGTGTACAAGGCCTAAGGTAAACGGAATAACGATATAATGACTACAATGATAGCCGGATATGTAGCTTATGTATGAACACTGTTGTGCCTTGTCAGGAGACCGGCTGTGTGTCCGAGAGCAAGCGGATGGGCGCGAGAGCATACTCTATGACCATTGTCCGCCTACTCGAAGACAGTAACGCTGACTGCAGCAGGACCAGGTATTTCTTGTTCCTCTTCTACCCTGCACCACAGGTACGACAGGCTACCATCTCCTCCCCCTCATGACTTATCAACATGTGAAATGTTGATCCTGTCATAGTGCACTCTCCTATAAACTGTTATGTTTATGTTTCCGAGCCATCTTTGTTGGTTGTTTTGTTCCTTTCGGCAACTTCAATGCCAAGACAATTTGGCATCTTGTATTCTCTTATTGTTGCTGTTGTTGGCTTCCTGCGCCTGCGTCTTCGTGCGGCGGCTCTCCGGTGTCCTGCGCCGGCCTGGTTTCGTCTTGTTCTATCGTCTCCTGTCTTGGTTGTTTGTCTGTTTGTGTTGTTGTCTCTGTCCACTATGTCTGCGCTGCTGCCGTTGGCCTCGCCTTGAGCGCCTGTTCCCTCAAGTTTTCGTCGCTCGACCCAGGCCCTAGACTCCTCGTGCGATGTCGTACACGATAGTGGCACGCTGACCAAGAACAAACCTTCACCCCTAACCCGGCGATGCCCAGACTGTATTTACATTGAGAGATGGCCCCGTATAGCAGCGATTTGCCAAGTGAGAACGCTAGATATTAGCCCGTGCCTCACTACAATCTTATCCCGACTTCTCATCGAATGTATGCACAGTTCCTAGACTTGTGGCAAACTCTTACAAAATACCAGTTAGTCGAGTGGCGCTCCCTAAACAAATGATGGGGGACATCGGATAGAAGCCACAAACTTTTTCCTCAGTACTATCCAGTGCCCTAAGGTTTAAATGTTATGATAGGAGCCACTCAGCAAAGACTAGAGGAGGCGCATCTTGGATTTCAAGCGTATGGCCGCCATGTAAAACCTCATAATATCAACTATCTGTGTTAAGGTATTTATATGGTCTAGTGTTATGATTAGTTGTTGTGTGCTGAATGTGTATAATGTACTTAAGCCGGCTCGTCGTGCGAAATTTCTGACCGTCTTACTGATCTCCGCATACGGCCCCCTCTTGCTGCCTGCCTGTCTTCCGCTGTGTGTGCCCCTACCTACCCGCCATACTATAACCCCTCCCCGCTCTGCTATTCACACGAGGTCCGTGTCTGTTGCGTGGTGTGCCAGCATGCTCCAGTGTTACAACGTGTCCGACGAAGCTGGCAGACTCATTAACCCGCTACCTGCTACGCATTCGCCGTTCCGTCGACCGGTCAGCGACGGCGAAGTCACCCGCGCTTAGGCGGGCGTCCAGGTCGGCAGCGCGAGTTGTTATCGCGTCTCCGCGATTGAACGCTCATCTGTGAATTCCGGGATGCGGCGGACCACGCCTGTCCGGCCGCGGGCTCCCCGCGGGCCTGCTTCCTATCTGCCTTCCACACCAACACGGTTGAGCCTACCTCTCGCCCGACGGGCGGACCGTTCTGGGTGTCGTCGTCTGCGCGCCTCGCCAGGTCCCTCAGGCCCCGACGGGGCAGTGGCGCCAAGACGCCGGGGCTCCGGTCATAACAACTGGTGAAACGCTCTACTATTCCCAGTGTGTGCGGCCCGAGTCGCTGGTGGGGCCTGTTGGCGGCCGGGTGGTGGGGTGGGGGGATTTTCGCGAGTGTCAGTCGGCGGAAAGATTAGGGCTCGTTGGCAGGGAACTAACGGTCTGGGGGTCGCGGGAAGGTTTGGGGTGTCCGGCGAGAAGTTTGAGAACTCGGGGGAAGGTTGGGGTGCCGGGATAAGTGTGGTGCTGGGGACGGTTTCCGGTGAACCCTGGGGGGAAGCGTACAAGCCAAGGTAAGGCCCGATACACACGTACAAGCCAAGGTAAGGTCCGCTACACGCGTACAAGCCAAGGTAAGGTCCGCTACACGCGTACAAGCCAAGGTAAGGTCCGCTACACGTGTACAAGCCAAGGTAAACGGAATAACATATATATGACTACAATGATAGCCGGATATGTAGCTTATGTATGAACACTGTTGTGCGTTTCAGGAGACGGTAGTGTGTGAGAGCAAGCGATGGGAGAGCAGTACTATGACCATTGTGCCCTACTCGAAGACAGTAACGCTGACTGAGCAGGACCAGGGTATTCTGTCCTTCTACCCTGCACCACAGGTACGACATGCTTCCATCCTATTACGACATGTGAAATGTTGATCCTGGTATAGTCACTCTCCTATGAACTTTTTGTTTATTTTCGAGGCCATTTTGTTGTTGTTTTTATTCTTTTCGAATTCAATGCGAACAATTGTTGCATCTTGGTAGTTTTCTTATTCTTGTTGTTGTTGTTGTTGTTGTTGTTGTTGTTGTTGTTGTTGTTGTGTGTCACATTTTGGTGCTGCTGTTGCTGCAGGCTTCCAAGTTTGTGGTGACACAGTCTGTGATGGAGAAGGCACTGACCAAAAACAACTACACGACACGCATGCACGACTTATTATACATTGAGGAGATGGCCCAGTATAGCAGCATTGCCAGGTGAGAACGCTAGATATTAGCCATGTTCCTACTACAATTTACCCGACTTCTCATCGAAAGGTATGCACAGTGTGTGTGGCAAACTCGTTACAAATACCAATAGTCAGGTGGCTAAACAAAATGATGGGGACATTCCGGATAAAAGCACCAAACTTTTTCCATATACTATCCAGTGCCTAAGGTTTAAATTTTTGATAGGAGCCACTTCAGCAAGATAGAGGGAGGCGGCCATCTTGGATTCCAAGATGGCCGCCATGTAAAAACCTATAAATGTCAATATCTCGGCTTAAGGTTATTTATATGGTTAGGGTTATGGTTAGTGTTGTGGTGAATGTGTATAATGTACGTATGTCGTGGAAATTTGTGTAAGTACTGATCTTCAGTGCGTGCGTGCGTGTGTGTGCGCATGCGCAGGTACAACGTGACGACGAAGCTGCAGATCATTAACCGCTACCTGCTGATGCCGTCGACCGTATCGACGGCGAAGTACGCGCAGGGAGGCGAGTTGTTCGCTCGCATGAAGCTCATCGCTGAGATCTCGGAGGACACGGCCGCGGGCCGGCTGCTGCTCAACAACGTGCAGACAGTCGTGCTAGCGCCGCTCAGCCCTGACGGCAAGCCCAAGGATAACAAGGTGAGGCTCTATCCCGCAGGTGTGGGGAGGCTGGTGGGCTGTTGGGCGGCCGGGGGGGGGATTTTCGGGGGCTCTTTTTGGCATTTCGGGGGCGAAATCGCCCGCCGCCCCCGTGTATTTTTTCCCCTGACATGTGTGCGTGCTCATTACTCAAAACAATGACTTGCGACTTAGTCCGTATTATGCTGGAGCGGGTCACAAATGCGATCTTCTAGCCCTGCGTAAGGGTGTTACTGATCGACATGGACCAATGGTGAAAATCTTTCCGTTTCTGTCACTCGATTACAGGGCGGAAGAGGCACGATTCCTCCAGTCTGCACTGTGTCTACTGCAAGGTGACGTATAAGAGCAAGGCTGAGCTGGAGACGCATTGCCGCAGCGACAGTCACCAGGCTCTCATCTTGTCAGACGAGGGTCGTGACTGGAAGCACAGACCTCCACCTCGTGGCCTTTGCAGCACCCAGTTTGTGTTGTGTCAGACGTACGTATAGCATGTTTGTGTTGTGTGAGACGTACGTATAATATGTTTGTGTCATGTCAGACATACTCATAGTAGGTTTGTGTTGTTTCAGATAAACCTATAGCATATGTGTGCTCTGTGACTCAGATTTACATAGGTGACTAAATATATATACCATTTGGAGCAAAAAAAACACATTAATATTCCACATGACATGTCTTAGATGCGCAGAGGTTACTACATGTACTAAGCTATATAAGCATTTTGAAGCAAAAAACATGTTCCATGTAATACCTCTAAGATGTGCATACGTTTTAAATCATTTGGAGCAAAAATAATGACAACCATATTCCATTAAAAAATATACGGAATTTTCCTGCAATGCACAATCGCTGGTGGTGATGGAGGTGACAAACGGGGCATTTTTTTATCAATTGTGACTCATTAGTGATTCTTGCCTTAACGAGTTTATGAAAGGAGGCACCCGTCAGCTTGCATCGTGTGCCAATCGTTAATGACTGTCGTTAATTACACTCGTCATCAGGTTTATGAGCGGAGGCAACTGTCGGCTGGGTGAGGCGTGCTGCGATGCCCACAGTGAGGAGGAGCTGGATGAGTGGAAGGAACGCTTCGAGTACAGGACGATGAAGATGCAGGGAGCGAAGGACCGTCAGCTGCAGGGCAACTGGTGCGTGCGTGTGTGCGTGCGTGTGTAAGTTTGTATGTGTGTGTGTGTGTGTGTGTGTGTGTGTGTGTGTGTGTGTGTGCGTGTTTGTGCGCGTGCGTGCATGCGTGCGTGTGTGTGTGAGCGGATGTGCGTATGCGTGCGTGCGTGTGTAGGTGTGTCAATTCACGTGCATGCATGTATGCAAGTATGCATTTGTGCGTGGCAGCAACGATGTATATTCTGAGAAATTCATCAGTAAATATCATCATTGGTTTCTTACAGTGGACTAATTATTGTTATACGCACCGCATCGTGGGATTATTTTTAGCTCACATTGACATCGTCAAGAAGAGCTATTGCCATGGGGTGTCGTCCGTCATACGTCCGTCCGTCCGTCGTCAACATTTGGCTACGCGTGAGACCGTTTGACCCACATGTTTCAAATTAGCAGTACAGTTGTTACTCCTATGGGAGAGATGGTGAACGTCTTTTTGGAGCAGCAGTTGACCTACTTTCGAGCCAGCGCCCACTTTTTGGCAAAAATGAAATGCCATTAAGTACAGTCAGGGTCAAGCGGATTTTGCCTCATTTTTGGTCTGTGAATGATAAGGACTCGCCCCAAATATCACAGGGTTTTGATATTCTAAAAATTATGCCAAACTTAGGTAAGATATTTGGCAGTTTGCACTATGATTTCAGTGTCTGCCTGACCGGTCACCAATACTCAAGACCGTTTTACCACATGTTGTCAATTGCATATAGTATGTTACTCCTATGGGAGGGATTTGAAGTCTCATTTGGAGCATGCAGTCGACCTACTTTCGAGGCCCGCCACTATTTATGGCGCAAAAATGGGAAAGTGGCATAGTCAGTCAGGTATCAACGGGATTTGCTCATTTTGGCTGTGAATGAATAAGGACTGGCCCAAACATATCACAGGGGTTGATTTTCTAAAATCATGCAATTAGGTAGATTTTAGGCAGTATTCACTATGCATTCATGTCTAGCCTACGGTCGACTCAAGGTGACGCGCAAGGATCGTTGGAGCCTACCATCGTTTCCGAGATGCAGACAGTTGACTTTGGTTAACTCTATAGGAGAGATGTTGATCACGCGCGCTATTTTCGGATGGGGTTCATGCAGTCCGAGCCTACTTTGAGCAGCCACTGTTTGTTGGCAAAAATGAAATGAGTCATCTAGCATTCATGTCGTTTTGTTAATTTACCTACTACCTACTTACCTTACCTACTACCTACCTACCTACTACCTACCTACCTACCTACCTACTACCTACCCTACTAGCCTACCTACCTACCTACCTACCTACCTAACCTACTATCTGCTAATGCAGGCATACCTACGTCTGTGTTAGATTCTTCGTATACAGTAATTTCATGAACTGTTTATTCGCTTTTATTTGCGCGAATGATCGAAACCAAAATGGCGATCATTAGGCGTCCACCACTCCGCCCAGATTTCAGACTTTCAGACTGAAATCATTTTATTCGCTCAGAGTAACCCTGAACAGACAGTGAAATTTCTTATTAGTATAAAAGGGCGAGTAAGGACAGTTGATCACATTAGTGGTTTCGTCCTGTAAAACGAAAACACTTACAATTTTAATATCATCTCCTCTCTTCCACCCAAGGTGAGCTATAGTGTCATTGACACTTTCATTTTTGTTGATACATATATCGTCGCCGTGTGGCGATGTGCGGATAAGATACACCTCGGCACCGAGTTTGTTTTAGTGAGACGTGTTGAGGTGGGCGGGTCAGAGGAGGCGCGAGCAGCTGTACGTTTGTTTTAGTTGTAGGTTCTTAAGCTACATGGAGCCACTACTGCGAGGAAGTGGTGTGCAGGCGCCGGTGCCGACAAGGTGTGCATGGCGATAGAGAGCATCGACTCGGTGTGCGCGTGCACGCCAAGCGGCGACCTGGACGTACCGTGGCACGAAGCGATGCACGACCAGTGGCTGTTCACCGTCCACGAGCAAGGTACGGAACGTGGCATGATGCGGGCGCGGGTTCTGTGGTTCCCCGCTCTTGTTCGTCTCTCCTTGTGTAAGCGTTACCTTACCTCCCTTCTGCATTGTCTCACTATTGTGATCGGCGTTACGTTTGATGTTGCGTGCCTGCGTGTTGTGGTTTTGCGGAGATTGTGTTGTGTTTGTTTGCGGTGCTTGCCAGTTTTGTTGCGCTGGTTGCTGGGTGTGTTGACGGTGTTGCTGTTTGTGCTTGCGGTGTTGCAGCTTTGTGTTGCGGTGGTTGCAGTTGTGTTGCGGTGACCGGCCAGTTTGTCGTTGCGGTGTTGCGTTTGGTTGCGAGTGCTGAGTTTGTATTGCGGTTTGCTGCTGTGTGTGTTTGCTGTGCTGTTGTTATTGCGGTGGCTGCAGTTTGTGTTGCGGACTGTTGCAGTTTGATGTTGCCGGTTGCTGCGGTTTGTGTTGCGGTGTTGCTGCTTTGTGTTGCCGGTTCTGCGTTCTGTGTCTGCGGTGTTGCAGTGTTGCAGTTGTGTTGCGGTGCTGCTGTTGTGTGCGGTGTGCTGTTTGTGTTGCGGTGCTGACGAGTTTGTGTTGCGGCTGTTGCGGTGTTGCAGTGTGTGTTGCGGTGAACTGGCTGTTCGGTGTGCGGTGTTGCAGTTTGTGTTCGGTGCGGTGTTTGTGTTGCGTGGCAGTTGCGTTGTGTTTGCTGCTGCTGTTTGTGTTGCGGGGTTGCAGTTGTGTTGCAGTCTGGCTGTTTTTCTCCGTTCCTCTAGATTGTGAAAAAAGCGAAAGCTGGCGTCTAATTATCGGTCAGCCCTCTGTATTCATTCGCCCACCCCTGACCTGTCGATGCCAGTCCCCTTATTCTATCACGACGTTGTATGTCTGCAGACGAAGGGTGGGACGCTTTGCTCTGTCACGACGTACATCGGAGCAATTCTACATTCCAGCATCAATCAGCGGCCCGAAGAAATCGTGGCCGTAACTACGACTGGAGCCCGTGTGTCAGGAAGTAACATCAAACACTGCTGGCAGGAACGCGGAAAGGGGTGGGGGAGTTACGCTTACCGCTCGGTGAAAGGTGGTGCTGGAACAGAGGGTGGGAGTACGCTATCGCGTGAAGGTGGGTGGCTGAGACGAGGGTGGGGAGTACAGCTTTAGCGTGCACGAAGGTGAGGGGTGCTAGGACGAGGGTGGAGAGTACAGCTACCGTGTGAGGTGGGTGCAGGGACGAGGGGTGGAGGGAGTGCAGTTACGTGTGAAGGGGGTGCGGAAGAGGCTGAGGCGAGTACAGCATATCGCATGGAAGGGTGGGTGCTGGGAACGAGGGTGGGGGAGTACAGCTACCGCATGAAGCGTCGAGTGCTATGGGGCGGAGGGTGGAGGAGAGACAGCTACGCAGAAGGTGGGTGTGCGGAACGAGGTGGGGAGTACAGCTTACTGCACAGGTGAAGCGTGAGGTGCAGGCGGACGGGGTGGGGGAGTACAGCGTCGCATGAAGGAGTGAGGTGTGTGACGAGGGGGCGCTCTCGCTCTCGCTCTCTCTCTCTCTCTCTCTCTGCTCGCGTCTCTCGTCTTCTCTCTCTCGCTCTCTCTCTCTCTCTCTCTCATCTCTCTCTCTCTCTCCTCTCTCTCTTCTTCTCTCCTCTCTCTCTCTCATCTCTCTCTCTCTCTCTCTCTCTCTCTCATTCTCTCTCTCTCTCTCTCTCTCTCTCTCTCTTTGAGATTTCATTTTACTTCGGATGTCGCCCGTGAGCACTCCTGTTGCTAGTGAATCACATTAACCCCTAGTACCCGGCTGTGCGAAATTGTAACCTGCACACCGATATCTGATCCGCATTAAAATTTTATAGCCTGGCAATGCGCCGTCGGTTACAGCTGTGTTGACATGCCGCCTTCGTGGTCGAAGATACGTACGTATTCCGGGTGCTTCGTTTTGCGATATTTGCGAGGCGCGTGATTTCGTCGAGCAGGTGGCTCAGAGGACAGTCTTCGGCAACGTTTCGGCAGTCGATCGTGTTTGACGTCGGCTCGGAGCCCGTGCTGCTGCAGCGGCTGTGCGTCGACGTCGTACCCGTAGCTGACATAGATAAGCTCCAGCAAGCCAAGGTAAGGCCCGTATGACACACGTCAAGCTAAGTAAGGTCCGTACACATGTACAGCCAGGTAAGGTCGAATAACGATCGGACAGCAAGGGGTAAGGTCCGCTACACGCGTACAGCCAAGGTACAGGCCGATATCAGCACATACAAGCAAGGTTAAGGCCCGATACACCGTACAAGCCAGTAAGGTCCGCCGACCCGTAACAGGCCAAGATAAGGTCCGCTACACGCGCTTACAAGCAAGTACGGCCCGATACACACGTACAGGACAAGGTAGCGTCTGCTACACGATGTACAAGCCAAGGTAGCGTCCTGTACCATGTACAAGCCAAGGGTAAGGTCCTCTTAACGTACAAGCCAAAGTAGGGTTCTGCTACACGCGTACAAGGCCAGGTAAGGCCGTACACAATTACAGCCATGGAAGGCCCGATACACACGTACAGCAGGGGTAGCGTCCGCTACGCCACGTACAAGCCATAGATAAGTCACGCTTGACAACGCCGTACCAGCCCAAAGGTAAGGCCGCGATACACACGTACAAGAACAGGTAAGCGTCCGCTACACACGTACAAGCCAAGGTAAGGCCGCGACACAGTACAGCCAAGATAAAGGTTCCGCTGACACGTGACGAGCAAACGGTAGCGTCGCGGCACCACACACTCGTAACAAGCAAAGATAGGTCCGCTACCAGCGACGTACAAGCCAGTGAGGGGCGCCGATACACACGTACGAAGCCAAGGTAAGGGCGCGAACCCGTACCGCAGATAAAGGTCCGCCTGCACACGTACAAGCCAGTAAGGTCGCTTACACGTGATGACAGCCAAGGTAAAGGTCGTACACGCGTACAAGCCAAGGTAAGGTCCGCTAAGTGTACAAGCCAAGCGTAACGGCGAATAACATACTATATGACTCCAATGATAGCCGGATATGTAGCATTGATGTATGAACACTGTTGCGGTGCGTTGCAGAGAAGACCGGTAGTGCTGTGGAGAGCAAGCGAGTGAGAGCAGTCTATGGACCATTGTGCCCTCTCGAAGACGAGTAACAGCTGAGCTGAGCAGGACCAGGGTATTCTTGTTCTTCTACCTGCACCACAGGTACGAACAGAAATGCTTCCATCCATATTACAACATGTGAAGTGTTGTCCTGTGTATAGTCACTCTCTATGAATTATTGTTTATTATTCGAGCGCATTTTGTTGTAGTTTTGTTCTTTTCGAGATTCATGCAAGAATTGTGTGGCATGGCTTAGGTGTTTCTTATGTTGTCTTGGTTGTTGTTGTTGGGTGTTGTTGTTGTTGGCGCTGAGCGATAATGTGTGTGTCGTTCGTTGTTGTTGTGTGTCACGTTTTGGTGCGGTTTCTGTTGGGCTGGCAGGCTTTGCGAGAGTTTGTGGTGCCAGTCTGTGATGGGAGAACGGCAACTGACTCAATAACAACTTACACGACACGCATGCGACGACTTTTATACATTGAGGGATGGCGCCCAGGGTTATGCAGCTTGCCAGGTGGAACGCAGATATTAGAACGTTCCTCCTACAATTTACGCCGACTCTGCCGAGATGGGGTATGCACGTGGTGTGTGGAAGCTCGGCGGTTCACAAATCAAAATAGTAGGTGGGCTACAACACAAGATGGGGAGCATCCGGATAAAGCCACCACTGTTTCCAATATACTATTCCCGGCCTAAGGTTTAGAACGTGTTTGAGAGAGGAGTCCACTTCAGAAGATAGGGGAGCGGCCATCTTGGATTGTCAAAGTATGGCCCGCCATGTAACCTTTATAATGTCAGAAGTCTCGGACTTAAGGTTGTATATGTATAGGTTATGGTTAGTGTTGTGGTGAATGATTGTATAATGTCGGTATTGTCGGGTGGGCGAGAATTTGATGTGGGCTGTACTGATCTTCAGTGCTGGCAGTGTGAATGGGCATGCATGCGAGGAGCACGTGATCGCGAAGCTGCAGATCAGTTAACGCTACCTGCTGATGCCGATCGACCTTGCGACGGCGAAGTACGCGCGAGGGAGAGCGGAGTTGTTCGTCGCAATGAGCTCATCGTGAGATCTCGGAGGAACGGGCGGACCGCGCGCCGCCTGCTTGCTCGAACAACCGTGACAGACGGCTCGTGTGCGGCGCCTCCAGCCCGCGGCAGCCCAAGGCATAAACACCAGAGGGTGGACGACGCTCTATCCCGCACGGTGGCTGCGGCGCGGAGGGCCTGGTGGCGTTTGGGCCGGCCGGACCCGGTCGCGGGGGGGGGGATTTTGGAGAGTACTGCGGGGAAGATTTAGGGTGTAGGGCAGGCGAAAGGTTTGGGGGCGGTGCGGGGAGAAGGTTTGGTGCCGGGAGAAGGCTTTGGGTCCGGAGAGGGGAAGGTTGGCGGTGCCGGAGGAAGTGTGGGGTGCTGCGGGAGGGTTGTGGTGCGGGGAACGGTTTGGGCGTGCTGGGGAGCGAGGGTTGGTGTCAGAGAAGTTTGGAGAGCTGGAGGAGGTTGGGGGTGCGGGAGTTTGGGTGACCGGGGAAGGTTTCGGGGCGGCGGGGAAGGTTTTGTGAGGTCCGGGGAGGGTTGTGGTGCCAGGGGAAGGTTTGGGGCCGGGGGAGGAGTCTTGGGGGTGGCTGGGGGGGGGGGAGGGTTGTCGTGCCTGGGGGAAAGGTTGGGGGGCGGCTCGGGGGAGCGTTTGGGGTCCGGGGGGGGGGAGGGTATGGCTGCTGGCGGAAGGTTTGCGGTTCTGGGGAAGGTTTGGTTCTGGGAGAAGTTTTGGGGTGCGGGGGAGATTATGCCGGATGTTGGCGGGGAGGTTTGGGGGCTGCTACGGGAAGGTTTGCTGGGTACGGGGGAGGGTTGTGGTGCCGGTGAAGCGTTTGGAGGGCGAGGGCGGGAAGCTTTGGGTCGTCTGGGGCATAGGGTATGGTGACTGAGGAAGCGGTTTGGATAGTGGTGCGGAGAAGGTGTTGGAGGGGTGCGGGGGGCGGGGGTGGGTGCATGACGGTGCTACCCGTGTATATAAGAGCTGGTACTCTGTGTGGTGCTCACATCGCCCCACATCGTTTGTAAACATCCTCCTCACTTCTCTCCTCTGCATGCAGGCTATGAGAGGTGACACTCGCATTACAACACTAGATATGCTGCTGTACTACACTCTGTCAGTAACCACCTCTCACGCTTCCCTCTCCTCCACCTGGCGTACAGGGTACGAGTTTGACACTCTGCATACAACACTGATAATGCTGCTGTAACTACACATCTGTAGTAACCACCTCTCACGCTTCCCTCTCCTCCACACTGCGTACAGGCGTACGAGGTGACACTCTGCATACAACACTGATAATGCTGCTGTAACTACACATCTGTAGTAACCACCTCTCACGCTTCCCTCTCCTCCACACTGCGTACAGGCGTACGAGGTGACACTCTGCATACAACACTGATAATGCTGCTATAACTGCACATCTGTAGTAACCACCTCGCACGCTTCCCTCTCCTCCACACTGCGTACAGGTGTACGAGGTGAAGGTCGAAGACAAGGGCAAGAGCTTCATCTTCCTGCGGCAGCCTCCGCACGCCGTCACTGAGCTCGGCTTGCGCGCAGACACGGACCTGCTCGCGGAGGTGCAGTTTTCGCTCAACCGGCTGCCGCTGTGTGAGATGCACCACGCCGTCGATAAGCTGCCGGACATGAACATGGTGTTCCCTGACCTGCGCAGCCTGCCGAGCATTCCCTGGACGCCGTCCAAGTAAGTGTGTGGGCTGAGAGGTGGACACCGTCCATGTGCGGCTGCAGCGTATTTATTCGCCGGACGCCGTCCGTGATTTCCTGGGTACCGTCCAGGTGTATCTATCCTTATTTTCCCCCGAGTGCAATTCGAGTAAGTGTTTGAGGATACATTGTGTTTCCTGGATGCCATCACATGTTCTCTCCCATTCACCTACGCACGCGTTGTTCACCTACGCACGCGTTGTTCACCTACGCACGCGTTGACCTACATCCTCCTCTTTGTGACGATCTTGTGTCTCGACCCCCCTTTTTTTGTCTGTGGTTCTACGGATCGACTCGTCTCGGTCATGTATGATGACGTGTGCACCTTCCCGTGTCTAGGTACTGTGAGAAGAAAGCGCGAAGCAGGAGAGGGTCCAAGGTTGCTGTGATCCCCGCAGAGTAAGAGCGTGTTCCTCGCTGTTTCACTCACACCGTTGTTCACACACGCTCAGTCGCGCGCGCGCTCGCCTCCCCCGCCGCCGCCGCCCGCATGCCCCCGCCCTACTAAACGCATGCCACCCCCGCCCGATCCCGCAGCCTCCCGCCCCCGGATGGTGTCGGGCACGCGCTCATGCGACCGTGCTGTTTCACGCTGTTCGCGAACATTCCGGTGTGTTCCGGCTAACACTTCGGCATGTTCAGCCATTCATGAACATTCCGGCGTGTTCCGCTGTTCGCACACGTTCCGATGTTTGCGAACGTTTCGGCACCTTTCGTCGTTTGCGAACATTCCAGCATGTTCCGCTGTTTGCGAGCGTGTTATAATGTTCCGACTTTCGGCGTGAAACCGGGACACCTCCCCTTCGTGGTTCCGTGTGTGCCGCGCAGCAGCACACGGTCAATGCCTCGGCGGTAATTGCTTGGATGGTTTTTTTGTCGAGCGCTTTGTAAGCTACGTTAGAAAAATGCTCGCGTTCTCGACGCGTTTGCGTGCGCGGTTATGCGAACGCGAGGCGTGTGCTCTAGTTTTGCGTTTTGTGACGATTCGTGCGGAGATTACACGCGATTGTATGTAGTGCAGCTGCCGTCCACACGCGCTGTGCCGCAACAGCTGTTCTTGTGTCTCGCATCCCGACATTCGCTCTCGCGTCCCGTGTCGCTACGGTTGCTCTCGTGTTTTCTCGCGTCATAACGGCTGCGCTCATGTTTTCTCGCGTCGTATCGGCTGCTCTCGTGTTTTCTCGCGTCGTAATCGCTGCTCTCGTGTTTTTCTCGCGTTGTAATCGCTGCTCTCGTGTTTTTTCCGTCGTCTTCCAGGCAGTGGAGTGATAAACTTGACAGCCGGCTCAACGCGAAGCAGAAGGAGGCGATCGTCGCCATGACGACGGCGATCAACCACAAGCTGCCGCCGATCCTGCTCGTCGGGCCGTTTGGCACGGGCAAGACGTTCACGCTCGCGCAGGCCATCAAACAGATAGCTCAGCAGGAGGGAACGCGCGTGCTCGTGTGCACGCACTCCAACAGGTAGGCACCCTCGCACCCAGCCCACTGCTGGTGCAGACACGCTTACTGGTAGGGTAGCCTAACTCTGCCCCTTCCCCTGACCCTGCCCCTTCCCCTGACCCCATCCCATTGCTGGAGTATGGTTTCCAACAGGTTGGCTGACTCTCCCCCACGCCCACCGCCATTGCAGACGCTGTAACAGATACGTCATTGGGCCGACCTTTCTCCCGCTGGCTAGATGATTCTCTGCCATCGGCATGTCTTGACAAGTGTCATGGGGTTGGAGGGAACGTGCAAGATCCCTCCGTACGTCAGCTGTCTGTGAGGAACCAGGCAGGTTTCACTCTCATCGTTCGCACGTCGTGCCGTTGCGTCTAGTTTGCGAGCGATCGTGTTTATTGATGTGTTGTCGCTTTCGTTGCTGCTACAGCGCTGCCGATCTCTACATCAAGGACTACCTGCATTCATTCGTAGAGCAGGGATTAACCGAAGCGAAGCCACTGCGAGTCTACTACAGGTATGTATGACTGCGTGACTCGATCTGCAGGTGCTGATTAGCTGTAGGGCTCGCGGAACGCCACTGCAAATTTATCTTAGAGGCTTAGGGATGTGCTATTGTGCCCATGAGCTAGACTGTGTGCTGTCATGGCATCATGACGCCACAGAGACGAAAGGGGAAATGATATTAAGAATTTAGCTATTACCAGATGCGTGAAGGTGGTCTGTGCGATGTGCGATTGCAGGGAATAAAAAATCACGCATATCCCTTATGTCTGCGTGCGTCCGTGCATGTGTGCGTTCATGTGTGTGTTGGTGCGTGTATAAGCAGACAGCAATGTATGCAGATCCCATACCTTATATTGCACACAATGTTCACGTGTATTGTGTGAGTGTTGTCTCGTCTGCAGAAATCAATTGACGTATAGACAGCATACCCTTTATTTTGCGGCTTGATGCGGCATGTTTTGCATGCGTGCATCTGTGCGTGCATCTGTGCGTGCGTGCGCTCGCGTGCGTACTTGTGTGCGTGCGTGTGTGCGTGTGTGCGTCACTGTGTCTGATCTTGTCTCGTGGGTGTGCAGGCAGCGCTGGGTGCAGACAGTGAACCCGACCGTGCAGCGATACTGCCTCGTTACCGAGAAGGGTGACGGCTTCAACACGCCGACGAAGGAGGACATCCTCAAGCACCGCGTCATCGTCGTCACGCTCTCCACGAGCCGATCGCTCACCGACCTCGGCCTAGACACGGGTACGCACGTCACTCGCGCGCACTCACTCACTTCACCATCGAGACAAATTATTTGTACCCACGCAATGTAATCTATTATAACAAACAGTGCTGTGCCTTATATCTACACAGTCTTGTCTTGTACCTAAACAAAGTCACATGTCTTAGCCGTGTACAAAGTCGTATCTCTTAACTGCACGCAGTCATCTCATGGTGGATGGCTTTACTGCTTGCGCTGGCACATCATCCTCCCTCTCTCTTCTCTCTCTCTCTCTCTCGTCAATCTCGTCTCTCTCTCTCTCCTCTTTCCTCTCTCTTCCCATCTCATCGTCTTTCTCTCTCTTTCTTCCTTCCCCTCTCTCTCTCTCTCTCTCCCACCTCTCCCATCTCGCCGCCGCTCTCTCTCTCTCTCCTCTCTAACCGCACATCCCTCTCTCCTCTCTTTTCCCTCTCTCTCTTCCATCTCCCTCTCTTCT